CATAATGCCACCGGTAGAGCTATTCCTTTAAATTCATGTTAGATTTTTGAATTGGTTGTGGGAATACTTGTTTTTTAGATTAAAGCTGATTAATCCATTGCTCGACAACAGTTGGTGAACTCTCAGTTCAATATTCTACTTTCTCAGATTTTCTTTAATGTACAAACTGAAATGCATGACATGTAGATACTTTGATAGATTGAGGTTTCGTAATGTGAGCATGAACAATCATAGCAGTGGCTCTAGCATCAACGATGAGAATCTCCAATTCATCAATATGGATAAAATCCATTCTCGATAAACTTTAGCGACAATAAATCTTTGGCAGTGCTAACGAGATATGACACCTTTTCTTTCTTCAAGTTTTTTTTTTTTTTAATTAATTCATGGGGCTTCAACATCCAATATGTGCTTACCCTTTTGACAAGACTTTCGGTGGTGGATCATGTACATGAGGTTCGAGTCTCACGCCCTAATGTTCACGGAACGAGACTTGCCTGGATTAATAATGTTTTATCACATCAGATGATTGTCTCTTAACATGCTCTCTATTAGCTCTAATCATAATATGTCTTTAGTATTTCTTCTTCATAAGGCCTTTCCTCTTAATGAATTTTAGGATTCCATGCACTCTGAAAAATAGGGTTTTATGTATCTTGTTCTCCTCAACAAAATCTAACGTTATTGATTCCAAAAGGATTGCTTTATTTCACCAGCAGAGTTGTTCCTTTTGCTCAATTTTAAATTATCAAATTTATTACAGGTAGGAACACTCACTTTTGGTTGTGGGGCTAGTCGAGCGGCAGGTCTACTGGGCCATTCTCTCCATTTTTTTTTATTTTTGTCTCACGATCAACTTTTTTTATGCATATAAGGAAACTTCAACCTTGTGCATGCACTGTGTATAAAGCTCAATAGTTAGAGTGGTAAGTTTGAGTACAGGCACTACGAAGGCTTCTTGTCTAGCAAAAATCGTTTTCATGGCCTGGTCTTCAAGTGGAGTCGTGCTTACAAATACAAAAGCCCTTTTTGAAGATTCTCGCCAACATCATCGATAACTTTTGATCCTCTCATGGGTTGGTGAGCACGACCTGCAAGTTAAATTATAGAATGAGGCCCCACATGATGACCTTGAGTGTGCATGTCTTGGACGGGTACGACAATAGACTCCCAGATAAAGATTTATGGGTCATACTCTTATGCTTACAAAGACCTTTTAGTTGTAGATTCCTAAGTTGATAACTACTGGTCTTGCCCTGATGCTCACTAGACATAATTGACTCAAATTTATGAGTAATTATAATAACTAAAAATAATTGAAATTATCATTTATCTTTTAAAATTTTTAAGCTGCTATTTTAGCAAATATAAATATGACTAGCCAAAGATAGAAAAATAAATGTTTTTACGCTGAGTTGCTGGAAATCTATGGGCTCTGAAATTTAAAAATACTGGACTTTTGAGTCAATTTTTCAGAAAGCATATAAGATTACAGATAAGACACTACCAGTGATTTCACCCTCATTTTATGAGAACTTTAAGATCTTAGGTTAGTTGGTTTCTACAGGCGCAAATCTCTATAGTTAATTGCCCTTTCCGATAATGGGAGAGTACTTTCAATTAAGGCTAGTCATTAGAAAACCTATTGTTCATCATGTTGTAGTAGCATATTTAAAATTTATATCTTATTAAGTTATCACTTTGAGCTTAATGGTGATTGTTGGTGGAAATGATAACGCGCCCAATCAAGTTGTCATGGTTTTGTCATCCCGGGGTGTCATAGTCTTTGGTATACTTAGTAAGAGGAGATAGTTGACCCAACCAAACAGAAGGATTGTCGTCAATAATCATGAGTTATTTCCTCTAAGGGAATCCTATAGATCTAGGGTGAATTTGTTTCTAAGGGGATTAATCTATGTCGATCTTAGCTGACGTAAGGCATTATGCTTTAGCAACCCTATTATACATCACTCAAAGGGCAGAGTGCCATTGGGGAACATACGGGCTACAACCATGACTGTTTTACAGTGGAGCCTACTGGTCAAACAACCTGATGGAACCTGCTGGTAAAACCATCCGACATAAAGGCTCAGGTCATAACCACTTTTAAGTAGAGCCTACTGGTCAAACCACACGATCAGAGGACTTGCGAAACACTTTATTGACACGTACTTATTTTGAGTTTGAGTTTAGTATTATAATCTATGTGACATTTTGCTCTATGTGAGCTTGAGTCAATATTAAATTTTTCCACCCCGACAAACGATATAGGATGATGGATGAATCTTTACTTTTCAACATTTAGTAATAGATTTTATTTAAGCAATTTAATAGACTTTGTCATTTGAAAATTTGATTTTAACAAGTAAACCCCTCTCCGGTTGAAATTTAAGATCAACACGACCATCATTGAGAATTTTAAAATACTTGTTTTGGTGTTTTATTGAGCTTATCCATTCAAGCATTCAAAAAGGGTCAGTCCTGTCAACTGCAGTCCATGTTAGGAGGGGGATTAGACTGGTTTCATGGGAGCTCAATCCTGTCTAATATATTCCATTTAGGGAAA